TACAGCTTCATTTGACTTTATTATTAATGTTGTTATCATAGTAAAAATAGTTGCAAATTTCTCATACTGAAGATGTTCATTTCACATTTTGAAATGGTTAATTTTCTTGTAGGAGTTATTGGTGTAGCTTCACTTGTTTTATTTAAATTGTTGTTATCATGGCAAATGAAGTTACAAGTTCCCTATATTTAAATTGTTCATTTCCATACAGCAATTGTTCATTTCTCTACATGGCTTCTTTGTGCAGGGTGAGTTGATAGAGTCTGAGGATCAATTTTGTCATTTCCCTTAACATCTTAATTTCATTTCACTTCCATTGGTCTGCAATAAAATTTCAGATTTTAAGATGCTTTCTTTTTCATTATATTCGATCAAGAAATCTAGACTGAAAATTTTCCTAAAGCTTTCCTTTTTTTTTAACCGGGAACGCAAATGGAAGGCTTATCTATCGTCTTTATTTAAAAAAAAAGTGATAAAAAAATATTTTCAGTGATTATTGCATACAAAATTATTATAATGAAGTGCTAAACCCAATTTGGCGCCAAAAAAAAAAGTGCTAAACTCAGAGCTATCCACGGCCCATCAATGGATATGCACACATATTTTTTTAATAAAAAATGATGGGCGCGTATTAAAATGAATAAAAAATATAAGATATTTAGATAAATATTTAGATAAACATAAAATGTAGAGAATTTGTCATTTAAATTTTTGAGATGAAGATAATTATGAAAATTTTGATAGATCACCATCGTCAATGACAGACAAGTAAAAGCTTCAAAGGAAGGCTTTCACCTTTTTGTTAAGAAAAAGGGAAGACCCAATCTATTATTAAACACCTAGAGTCTCATCTTGTGAGAGCTTCTTCAAATTATTCGATGAATGATTCAGGTCATGCACGCTCCTATCTATGGAAATCAGATAGCAAAAGAAGTTAGAAAGTCAGCACATTTATTGCTTAAGACAGATATTATAAATCTCATCTTGCCAGGAAGGGAAGGCTTTCATTTATTTGTGTTTTTTTTTTTCTTGCCTCTGAGAGTGTTTGAGTGCTCCTTGTATATTTTATTGAATTCACGAACTAGCCGGATTTAAAACAACCATTTTCCCTTATTTTAGGGGGGCATTTTTGCCACTTCGCTTCAGGGAAATATCCTCTTCCAACTGGAAACTCAACTTTTGCACTGTATTTTTTTAGGAAAAAGAACTTTTCTTCTAAAATTATTGAAGGACCTTTTCCGCTCTTTTCTGTTTGAACACATTATATGGATGAGTTTCACTAGTTGAATTATACATAAGACTAAAAGATGCATTTCTTTCCTATCCTCTTCATATATATATATATATATATATAAAAGAAGGAATAAAAAATTATTAATCACAAATCACAATTGGGTAAATCAATAGTTGCAGTGTTAAACTCAACTTTCCACCGATCACCAATTGTACACCAGTAAATGAGCACATATTAAAATGAATAAAAATATGAGATTTTTCAAATACCCGTTAGGAGAGATGTTATATTTAGTGGTTGAACGTATATCAAACAAGGTAATTCTTGTATACAATCAAAAATATATATGAGATTTTCATATAAAGATACAATGTTGAGTTTTGTTGTTTAAATTTTTCAGATGAAAATAGTTATGAGCTTTTGGCAGAATGACGGACAATTAAGAAGTTAATTATGTTCGTCAAAAGAAAATAAGAAGTGAATTTAATCATAAGACTTCAACATAATAATTTTCGTTTAATGAGCACAAGAAATATTCAATACAAGTGTGTCCCTTTATTTTTTTGGGGCAAAAAATAGCGATGCATTGAATGTCTTGTTACCTAAAAAGGATCATACGCAAAAAGACGAGACCAGCAGCAAATCGTATTACTCTAGTAAAAGCTATATCATAATTGATAAAAGCTTTGCCTGACAGTTCTAGAGATGGTAGAAATTGCTATGGCATCGTGTTAGAGCATCAAATAAACATGACTTGTCCTAATTACCTCCAATTCCCGATGACATACTTTGATACGCCTTATATTTTTTTTTAAGAGATAATAGACTTTTAATCTCTTAAATTTGCTTCAATTATTCATTTGATCCTTTAAATTTACCTTTTATTAAGTTGATCCCTTTAACACAAAGAAAGATCACATTAAAACAGCGTCCTATTCCACACAAACAAAGATATAGACATAGGATACAGGAAACACTGTCAATTCTTTTTTAAGAACACTTGGATCATTTATTCTTTTTCTTTTTTCTTTTGGGTTGAATATTGTTAAATTATTATTCCATTCTCATTCTCTTTAGTTTTTCCATTCCTTTGTAAAGAATATTCCTATGCGACAACCATACAGTAACGGATGGCCATTGCACCTGGGGGCCGAGTAGGATAAGGGTAAAAATAATAATACTAGAGAGTGCACGAAAAGGCTAAGGTAAGGTTAGTGCTGTCAACTTTACCTTTTTTATGTCACCCACTGAGAAACACATCAGCCCACCCACATACACAGACAAGATTCTTTTTGAAAGGTCCAGGCGGGCTCTTGTTATCTTATCCTAAAGAATTCCCACTATGTCATCTTTTCTCCGTTTTGTTGGAAAGGGAAGCATATTCACTTCCATGTCCATTCTAAACACAGCACCTAATTTGTGAGTTTGCTTGGTCTTATTTGCAATATTTTAATTTTCTTTTTTATTATAAGGAGTAGATCCTTTAAAAGCAAAGATCATCTTCTTCAAATCTTGATATTTTTTTAATTTATTATTTCATTGATTTTTTACATACTATATTTATTTATTACACTATTTTTCACTGCAGTAAAATATCAGAGTAAAATATTAGAATAATTTTTTTTATTCTATTTCTGTTTGATGATACTCCTCCAGTCCTCTTTATAAGTCATTTTTATCAACCATAGTAATGCCAATGCAAAAAAAGGTATAAGGAATAAAAGTATGTAGAATTTTAAATATATCCTTATATAACAAATATAAAAGTAATATTATGTTACTTTTTTTTCATAAAGGATAATTTTAAAAATACTTTTTAAATATTACTTAAAAAGTTGTATCATGACTTATAAATGGGATTGAATAAATTTTTTAAAAAGTGGAGTATTATGCAAAGTAACAACAAATTGGCTTCCAGCTTGATTTTACTTCCTTGACCTGTACACAGCGTCTGTCTCTGAGAAGAATAATCTGCACATGCCAATCATCATACATAAAGGAGTGGTCTAGTGTGCTCTATCCCTGTCCTCAATGGGTGATCGATCTGAGCCACTATCTCTCAGCGAGAGTCTTAGGAAAGCTTATTTCCTTGAAGTCTTCTAAACCTATAGTGAATTGTCAGAATTTTTTGGGCCTAATCTGCAAGTAAGAGTCATTTACAGTCCTAATATGAAATTCTTCCAGAGAAATAAGAGGTAGGATCCAAATATTAATTCTTTGTTTGGATGGAAAGAAAAGTTGAAAGGAAAGAAAATGTAAAAATAAAATTAAAAAAATATTATCACTCATCTTATTTGGATAAATAAGAAAGAGAAAAGAAAATAAACAAATATCATAATGATTATGATGCTTTTATATTAAAATATATCATGTTTCATGTAATCATCTTTATAAAAATAAATTGAGAACAGAAATTATATTAAATTAACATAATCAAATTAATGTGAAATCAAATTAGTTGTGAAAAATATTTTTTCATATTATTTTATTTTAAAATTAAATAATTTAATGAAAATGTTATATAAATAAAATCTCCAACAGCATTAAAATTAATAAAAAGACAGTGTCACTAATATCCCAAGGAGCCATCGTCAACATTGGATTTGGTTCTTGCTCTATGATTCCTTCCTATCATCTCTGCGCGCACACTCTATATTGCTACCAAAGCGTGAGTTCTAGTTTTAATCTTAAATTACTTGAACATTTCCATTATTTTATTATCTTCTAGTTTCAGTGTAACTACTGATTTGGTCCAATGGAAAGATTTGTCAGAATATTAAATCGATGCTGTGACTTAAACAACTTGAAGAAGAATGAAATCATGGCAGAAAGAAGGAAATCTCATAGAAGGCGCACAAGAAGAAGAAGAAGCAGCCGTTGAAGATGATGCTCTGCTCTAAGTTGAAGATGGGAGTTACACGAAAATTAAAATAGGTGAGTTGGTGAATGTCAAGGGTAGGCTCTGGAATAAATTTTTTTCTCAAAATCTGTCTACTTATGAAAAAAAGTTAGGAGGAAAATGCGGTAAGTTTTACATCTCATTTTTTATTTTACTTTTCTTTTTTTTTTTAATTTTTTTCCTCATTCAAATAAGAAAAAATGTATTTTCTCTCCTATTTTTTCTCTTATTTTCTTTTCTTTCATATTTTGTTTCTATCCAAAGAGAGCATAATAAAATAGTTTCATGGGAAAATATGGTGGCCTGTGTGCTCAGAGTCTTATCATCGCATTTGTATCTCTTTTTTGTATTTATATTTTTTGTTACTAAATAAAATAACAACAGGGGTACAAAGCCTCTAATGCCCCGTCTCTTTAATATTCTTTTCAATCCCTTGACTTTATTGCAATTTATCTCTTTTTTATAATTAAATTTTATATAAAATGAGAGACATTTTAATATCTTATAGTAATGAATAGAATATTTTAAATTTATTTTACTATTTTTCAAAGAAAATAAATAAAAATTATATAATTTTTGGACATTTTTCTTTGAAAAGTAATAAAAATGAAAATTGCATTATTTCATCATTGTAAAATATTAAAATATCTTTCATTTTATGTAGAATCTACTGATAATTAAACGAAAAAAATTAATTAAAAGATTGGATATCACGAGGTATTACAGAGTGGGACATTAGAAGCTCCAAGCCTGACAAGTAGTGTATTAACTGCATTCATGAACGTAAAAAGTTTTAGTGTACAAGATTCTTGTAAGTCATTTATATATAAATGGCTGTGTGTAATGATGAATTATGAGAGATGGAAGTTGAACTCAACGAAATCACAATTTCTAGCCAAATGAGCCTTCTTTATGAGGCAGCCTATAGTGGGAACATATCACAGCTAAATTCATTGATACAGCAATGCTCACATATCTTGCACAATACTTCGCAAACTTCCTTCACTGAAACTCCTTTGCACATCTCATCTTTGCTCGGCCACCTTCAATTCACAAAGAAACTTCTTTCACACAAACCTAATCTATCCCTTGAGTTGAACTCCTCCCGAATGACAGCTCTCCACTTGGCTTCTGCAGAGGGTCACATCCACGTCGTGAAGGAACTTCTAAGAGTGAATAATGAGCCATGCTTGTTTCGTGATGAAGAAGGCAGAATTCCTCTTCACTATGCTGCAATGAGAGGGAGAACAGTGGTTGTGCAAGAGTTGATCAGAGCAAAGCCAGAGTCCCTGAGTTTTCGTCACCAAGGAAAAACTGTATTTCACTTGTGTGTCACATACAACCATCTGGAGACTCTCAAAGCTTTAGTGGAATTGGAGTCTGCCATTACTGGTGAGCTTCTCAACTGCATGAGCTCTGATGATGCTGGAAACACCCTTCTCCATTTTGCTGTCATGTTGAAGCGAGTTGAGGTTCAATATTAATTCTTTTGCTATCCTTTTTTCCTTTCAATTCTGATAACAGTTTCTTTTTTAAACTTTACATGCGCTTTATTTAGGTGATAAGCTATCTGGTATCAATTCCAGAAATAAGAGAAATAGCAAACTTGAAGAACCAGATAGGCTTGACAGCCCGGGATATCGTGGAACATAGTCCAATAAAAGACTTGAAAATCTGCGAAATACAACACATGCTGGCAAAGGCCGAAAAGGAACGATTTGAAGCTGATCATCATCCACAACCACCACGGTCAGCATCTACTGAAGTTGAACTTCCTCAGAAGGGTAATTGTTGTATGAAGACGTTCCAGTGTATTGGAAATTGGTTTATGAAGATTTTGAAACGGATTGAAAATTGGCTGAAGCATGAGGATGATTGGTTAGAAAAGATGAGGGGGAATCTGAGTCTGGTGTCAACTGTGATAGCAACTATAACCTTTCAAGCTATGATCAATCCACCTGGTGGCTTCATTCAACAAGGCTTGTTATCTAAAAACAACACGGCATCATCAAATGACCTTCTCAACTGCACGACCTTTTATGATGGTAACACGTATTGTCCTGGAGAAGCAATCTCATTCCTTCGTCTCCCAGATGACTTTCAGCAGTATCTAATTTTTCTTACCGTCAGTTTTTATTCATCACTTGGGGTCACCCTCTTGCTTGTGAGTGGGTTTCCTATGAAGAATAAAGCTGTGATATGGCTGCTATCATTAGGTATGTGTATCACTCTTTCTTCCCTTGCGTTTGCCTTTTTAAGTGCCCTCTCAATAGTGGTCCCAACTCATCTTTTGGAAGGGAATGCAATTCAGACCATGATGTGGGTAACAATTATGGTATGGACCAACTTGCTTGGGTTAATCTTGGTGTTAATCACACTGCGCTTTCAATTTTGGATTTGGAAGAGATGTGCCAAGATAATCAAGAGATTAAGAAGTTGGAGGAGTGAAAATGGATGTTGCAGATTTGCACCTGTGTTTTTTATGATAGTTCTTATCTTTTTTCTGATAGTGATTATTTTGGTTCAATTGATTATAATATTTTACCTTATTTCTCGGGATTTGTTTTTTATGAGTGGCCTATAAATACACTCACTATTTAATGAGTGTCTTAATTAGAGTTATTGAATTTCATCAAACTATTATTATCATGCTACTTGAAATATTTATTGAGTAAGTATTTTTAAGTCACTCACTAGATCCAAATCCTATTTATTGTAATGTTGTAGTAGCAAAATATGTACATCACAATGGTGCATACCGTAATTACATATAATCCCGTAGTGTGTAAGTATGTGATCATAGTAAAATTGCTAGTAAAGAAGATCATTTTGTTTCCAGTTTTTCTTTTTTTTATTTGGTGAATGACAATTAAATCGCAAATAGTTGAATTAACGATAAATAGGTTCTTAATAAATATTTTTAAAAAATAAATTATAAATATTAATGCAAATTATTATAATAAAAATTCTCAGTTACAATTTAAAATTTAAATTTAAAACTTAAATGTCTTATCTTTAATTAAAAATTTTGAATTTCCAATTATCTGAATTAATATTTTCAACTCATTTTTTAAAAATTTTATCAAGACCTAATTATGATTAATTCAATCAATTAAGATTTAATTGCCATTCTCCCTTCTCATTTCAATAACGGCATATTTTGGGACCTTAGAATATCCTTTCTATAATCTCAATCATTTATTCCCCATAAAATCAAACGACATTGGGGGACCCTATACGTGGAAACAAAGCATCTTCGTCCAACGTGGTAACAAAGTCCACAGTGCTTTAGCACTTGCTTAAAATTTAAAATATAATAAATATGAGTTCAAACCTATAATTTAGGCCCATGTTTTAACCTTTTTTTCATTTCACCCTTATATTTGACCCGTAATTTCATCATGTTTTCCCGTAATTTTTGTTTAAAAATAACTGTGTACGGAATTCCATACTTATAACTCAATCGTCAAATGCTGGAAAAGTCACCAGTAACGATGGCACCACTGCCAGAAAATCTCCGCTTCCCTTCTCTAATTTTAGCTTTCTCCACACCTACACTCAGGAGGTACATAATTTGAATTATCAGGATTTAATTTAGATGGTTTAGATTTAATATTTTTTAAAAAAAAATTATATAAATTGCAAACAATTTTAATAAATTAGTTCCCTAGTTTAGACGGTTCAAATTAAATTAAGAATTGAGATAAACTTGAAGAATTGAAAGTTTCATCATCTTAAAATAAAATGACATGATAATGGAACCAAGGCACATTCAATTGCTGATATGAACTGAGGGAGAGCAATCACCGTTTGAGATTGAGAGTACTCAATGACTTGATTTCATTTGGATGCATTTGAAAAAGCTTCGTCAGAGCACTAAACACTTCCATCCAAAATATGCTAAACAATCATATTCCGTGAATATAGATGTATCTATATATATATATATATGTTGACATACAAACAGACATCTCACTTTATTTCTCTCCTCATATAGCTGATAAGAAATGAGAGATCAGTATTAAGAATATTATGGAGCATCAGTTAAGTAGTATTATTAAACTTTCAAGTTCAATGATTGTCTTAATCTAAGCCATTAATTAGATGCACATGCACGTAACCATTGATGAAACTTCATATATAACAAGAATGATATGTTAAAATAAACAAAGTACGAAACTACACCCAATTGAAAAAATTGATCTTACATTAATTACATTTAATAAAATAATTAATAACCTTCCTCAATCTCAAGTTAGCTAGCTCACTAATATGTTCAAATGACATGGATTGCTTGATATGATGATATGGTGAATAATTTAAGTTGTTAATAGTGCCAATAAGAACGTAGGACTAATTTTCCCAGAAATTAAAACAACCTCCCATTCCACACATATATAGATGGGGTTGGAAAAACTATCAACTCTTATTTAAGAACACTTGGACCATTTTTCTTCTTTTGGTTAAATATTCTTAAGTTATTATTCCATTCATTTCTACTAGCCTTCCCATTTCTTTTTGTAAAGAATATTCCAATACAGCCCGAAAAAAATAAAAGGAATATTATATTCCTATACGCCAAACATACAGTAACTGGTCAGGGGACCTGGGGCCTAGGGGCCACATGGGATAAGGGTAAAAATAATATAATACATGTAAAGTAAAAAAGATAAGGTTAGGTTGATGACGCTGTCAACTCATCTTTGATTTTTTTTTTCTTTCCCGTCACCACCACCGGCATATATAGACAAGTTTCCTTTTTGAAACTAATTATTATAAAGAATTCTTGCTTTGTTGTTTTCTCCATGTTTCTTGTTGGAAAGGAATATGAATATATTATATTCACTTCTATTCTAATAACAGTACTTAATTTACAAGTTGGTTTGTTTCTATTTATTTTATCTTACTTTATTTTTTTATTTATTACAAAGAGTAGATCATGTTAAAAGTAGAGATTATTTCCTTCAAATATGTTGATCTTTTTTATTTATTATTTTATTAATTTTTTTACACACTATCTTTATTTATTACACTATTTTTCACCGCAATAAAATATTAGACTAATTTTTTTTTGGTATTGGTATTTTAACAAATGTAAAATCCTTGTTATATAGTTTATAAGCAACGGGTATGTATGACGTCATTTACATGACTCAGACGATGCTGCCACAACATTATCGTACTGAAAATGACAAGCACTGGTGACATCAATTTCGTGGACTATATTCACTAACGATCAATCGATTTGACATAAAATAAACTATCCCCACACTCCCCCTCTCCTGTTGTGCAATTACAATTTACAAGTAGGAGCTTACTTGAAAACAGATTTTATTTGTGAGAGATATAAAAAGCATGGATTCAAATGATAAATTCATTTCATCAAATTTAGTTGCTAAATGCATAATATTTGATATCTGAACTTTCAACTTGTTTAAATAATAACAAGTCCTAGCACTTGTAGTAGGGAATTTAAGGTTGCATAATGTCGGAACACACACACCCTTTGCATGCTGCGTCATAGAGAACTCTCATTTTATCCTCTTCATGGTGATGAGCAGTCTCTATGTTCATCAGCTCCGTCTCTTGCCGAGAAGGATGACTCATTTTCTTAATAATTATGCTCCAAAATAAAAAATAATAATTTATGGGGCTGTTTAGTAATTATAGAGTTAGTGCGTGATGCAACTTTAAGGTAACTTGTGTTTCAATTTGTAACTCCAAGATTCTTCATTATATGAAGTCAACTTCTGCTTTGTTCCGGTAAGATGTGAACAACAATCTCTTAGAAATATGCCTGGACGGAGGCAGTGACTATGCGAGGTTGATGTCGCAATATAGATTGTTAGCTTAAAGATCTATTAAACAAGAGCACACTTGTAAGGACTTGAAGGGCATGCTCACTTACATTTTAAAGTATTGGATGGGCAGCAAAATAATTATAATATATATCTTTCTTTTATTTCTTCTAATCTAAAACTAGCTACCTGATGACACATGTCATTGGTGATAATTTTTGTTTTTGCTTTTGGTTTTGTTTTTTGTTTTTGGGTGAACTAGTTCGGGTGATTATGAAACAACCACACCATAACGCACACGAAAGACTGGTTCCAACAAAGATTTGGCTGTGGAAAGTTGAAAGATTTGGTCGTAGAAAGGGGTGCGCTTGCGATGGAGTCCAAGTCAAAGGCCATTCTGGGTTGGCGACAAAGAAGGGTTTTGGTGAATGGTGAAGTAACAGCGGCCATGTGCAAGATATATAGTTATAGACAAAGTTCAGAAACTACAGACAAAAGGTGGGAAAAAGTTGAAGTTGAGAATAATTAGTGAAGGGCAATCATATATATAATAAAGTTATAAAAAAAATTAAGTTAATAACAGTTAAGTTTTTGATAATTTTTTTTAAAAATAAATTAATTATATATATACTGACTCAAATAGTTATAAATAAGAATCTCAGTTGTATGCTAAGTTTAGAATTTAAATATCTTATTTATAATTAAAATTTCAGAATTTATAATTTATTTTTCAAAATTTTTTTATTAAAAATCTAACTGTCATTAAATTTGTTTTTTTTAGAGATTTAATTATCATTCTTCTTTATTCAATCCAGTCTATGAAACTTTATATGTAACAAGAATTATATGCTAATATAAACAGAATATGAAACTACACCAAATTGAAATCTACAAATTAATAATAATTTAATTACATTTAGTAAAATAACACCTTTCCTCAAACTCAAGTAAGCCCACTTAACATTTCGAATAATCGCGTGATATGATACATGGTGAATAAGTTAGCTTGTTGAAATTAAAGTGCCAATGAGTTGGAGTAATTTTTTGAGAAATGAATCATTTAACATTAAAACAATCTCCATTCCACCCATAGCTAGATAGGATACAGGAAAAGCTACCAATTCTTCTTTAAGAACACTTGGGCCATTTATTTTATTTTTTTCAGTTAAATATTCTAAAGGTTTTATTCCATTCATTCCCACTAGTCTCTCCATTCCTTTTAATTTGTAAAGAATATTCCTATGTACCAACCACACAGTAACTGATGGCCGTGGCACTTTACAGTTACTGGGGGCCACATAGATAAGGGTAAAAATAAAATATCATGTAGAGTGGAAATGATCGATAAAGATAGGTTAGTGCCGTGATGCCGTCAACCAACCTTCTTTTAAGTCACCCCTGGGCAAACACACCCACCTTCCATGTTACTCTTTTTATTTAAAAATATAAAATATTTTTAATTAAATTTTATTTTTTAATGAAGTAATATTTATTTTTAAATTAACCATATCATTTTATATTTATTTTTATTAAATATTTTACAATAAATATAAAGTTATTCATTAATAGAAACACTTTTGAAAAAAAAAGGTAATGATTACACCTTAAAAGATTAAAAATACTTTATATTTTTTAACTTTTAATTCTTTAAAAAATACTTTATATTTTCTAACTGAGCGAGTATATAATTTTATAATAACTAACGGGTAACGCAGGTTCAGAACATAATTTTTCAAGTTGTTTCCAACGAAGTTGCAGAACATAAATGGGCAGTCTGCTGTTCTCAAAACCAACAACTGCAGCATCGATTTAGTAAGATATTGTTAGTATATTTTTTAATAAATAAATAAATTATTATATTCTTATTAAATTAGAAGGAAAAAATGAATACTTTCATTAATTTAATTTAAAAAAATAAATTAATTTTTTATTTATAATAATTAAGGATAAAATTAAAATGTTATTATTATGTTTTTATTAAAATAATTAATTTTTATTAATTTTCTTAATTT